GATGGAAATGGTGAAAGGAGCCCTTTTTCCAGGGGTGGACACACACACACACACACAAGTTACTATAGGCCTCTGCGCGAGCCCCGCGCGAGGTTCGTGCGAGCACGACTCTTACAGTCATCCTACTATACATCTTCCTACGGTCAACCAAAACAGAAGCAGCAGGAGCTCTGCATCAAAACTGTCACAAATCCTTGACCCTTCACACCTGTGGAAGCTGCCCTCCCCCAAAGAACAGATTCATAAATCGACTTTACACAAGCTGAGTCGACTTAACGCTAGTACCTAGTACAGCAAAAGGTCAATGGACATGTCATGTCCATTCAACTGACAGAGTCCGGCTCGTACAAATCACCCGAATCTCCTTAGCAAGGGTTTGTCACATTGGACCCTCACAACTCCAAAACCCTTCCTCCTCTTGCCCCCGGTGCCGGTGCCCCCAAACAGACCCCCCCTCCGACCCCGTTCCGACGAAGAACGCCGTCCTGCGATGCGCACCAAGCGCCGAAACTGGAACTCGGACACAGACGGGACCCGGGCGGTGGCTGCCTACGACGAGGCTGGATGCAGCGGAAGTCGCTGAAGAACGTGAGCGGAAGTTGGGAAGGTGAGCGGGAAGTGGTGGATCCCATTCATCTACGTGGCACTCGTGCTTCACGACTTAATTGACTCCTATTGGCTTGCAAACTTCAATCAACGAACGAGGACTTAGAATCAGATGCCTGAAGCCTTACTAAGGCAGTGGAACCCTGCCAGATTCATCATTGTTACAGTAGCCCAAAGGAACTCCCTGACACGCTTGTCGCGGTCTCAAACGCGTGGCCCTGTGGCCACGTGGCTACGGGCCTCATGCTGCCCCGGGACCAGCAGCACGGTAGGTGTGCCTCGCCCCGAACCAGCAGGTTCTCGTCAAGCGATGTGTTCGGTGAAGAGACATGAACAAATGCCGCGGGTTAGCCAGAAGCTGCATCCGGAACTCGAACCATGTGTTGTTTTTGTTCGTTTTCGAGGGCCAACTGCCAACATGAGAAGCCAAAGAACTGCGAGTTGGAGGTTGTTGGAGCCTGGGTCTTGTGCTTCTACATCCGGGCCGAGAAGTGCCAACCATTCGACTTCGACTTCTGCGCTTTGCATCCCTAGGAGGCGTCGCGTCCCTCAGGCTGCGGCCTGTGCAAGGAATGATCTTGCAAGGGTTGGACTCCTGCTCGGCAGCTTCTGTCTTTTGAGAATGGTCTGACCTGTGGGGTGGTTTTACAGTGGACAACGAATCACCCAACGAATCAACGAATCCCCCAACGTTCGGCCCTTCGCAGCCTAGCAGTGGTCATGTTGCAAGATCATTGGAAAAAATGCAAGGTCACTTCATCCAGAAAGGGTCGATCTGATCAACGTACATGACAACGTGCCTCGACTACAAATGACTCTCTCTATATACAGTAATTAATTCCACTATACACATTATAGAATCAAAGAAGTGCAGGGACCACTGTATCCAAGAAGAAACCACCGGGTGGGCTTGAGGGTGTCCTCCTCTACCAGAACAGATCGGCTGCCCTCGAAATACCAACCCCAAACCCATGTTCCGCGGCATGGTCGTACCAAACAGGATAGTCATCATAGATTCTCTTGGACTGTTTCAGTTAATATAAAAGCATATAGAAGCGCTGATTAAATAGAACACATGACATTTCACTTGCTGCACTGGTACTTGGATAGTCTAGTAATTAGATTCCAGTCACTAGTCTGGTACTTGGAAGTAAAGTTACAGTAAGGATGAAAAAAAAAATAGTTCCAACACCCGAAATGTTCTGGAGCTTCCCACCATCTGATAGGCTTCCATCTTCCACTCCACTGGTGTGCCAAGCGTGCTCGGCCTCGGGCCAACGATTCGTACAGTTCACCATGTCCGCCCCTGGAAATCGAGGAGATCTGGTGCCATAGACCAACTACCATTAGTCATTAGTGGCTCACGACTGCCGGTATCCCCCTCTATTCATCAAGCAACCAAAAGTAAAAGGTCATCTATGGCTCTACAAGCAGTTGCTTCATGTTGGTTCTGGGTCATCGACTCCTGTTGACTCCTGTTTTTCACCCGTAATTTGGGCTCTAGGGACCCGGACCTTCAAGAACCTGTCGACTTCTGTTGATCCCGGATTCTTACAGCAACCAATATACCCAGAACATCCCAGAACCCACCTTTGAGCCCTGTTTGGGAACCAACACTTGGTCTTTATCTAAATTGGTGTGAAATGGGTTCTACAGGTGCCCCCCAGAAGTCTGTGTTGGACTTTGATGGACTAAAGTGACAAAAGTAGATTAGTCAATATAGTACAGAGTTCCTGGACTCGGGTCAAGTATATATATATATATATATATAGATAGATCATTTCTCAAATGGTCCTTGGACTCACAGGTGTGCTGGACACCGAATTCCTAAATCGATGGCGCCTTCTGGTTGTAGCCTTGGCAACGAGCCCACTGGGATGATGCTCATGGGTATTGAGACCAAAAGCCAGTTTAGGATGTCATCACCCAGACGCTCCATGGGACTGACATATTTGCATACCTTGGGGTGGTCAAACCCATGAAAGTCTGGTACGTTGATGGGCACAACGGTCAGTGATGGTCAAGGCTTCAGTGGATGAAGAGCCCCCGTCTTGACGATTCTTTAGGGCGATGAACACCATGAACCCACGCAAGGAATCGTGGTGCCCCTGAGGTACTCGTGGTGCCCCTGAGGTATAGCTACTGCAGTGGGTGAAGTGAATTGCAGATCATGGCAAGCCCATAGGGGCAAGCCTCTCCACATGACTGCATTTTGACAAAACTTGGAATGCTAAAACCTGACCCACATCAAGCAAGAACAAGAACAACTACGAGGACCACTACACTACACCAGCACCATCAGAATGAAAAGCCATGCTTCCCATCCGGATGCGGAGATGTCTTTGATCGTATGATCGTGTTATCGTACTTCCTTTTTCCCTCTCTGGCTCAGACAGACCATCTCAGATCTCATCCCAAGCGGCAACTCCAGGTGGATGCCGATGCTCACTCGCAGGCGTCGCTGCAAAAAGCGCCGTCTGCGCGGAGCGAAGAGGGAAGAGTCTGTCCGACGGTGAAAGTGACTCACTGGAGACTCCAAGTGACTTATAACTGGTTGGTTCATGTTGGTTCAAGAAGATGTCCCAAGTTCTGAGATCTCCCTGGTGATGGATCTTCCGGGTGGTTATTTCCCAAGTTCTGGAATCTCCCTGAGGTTGTTCTGGATCTTCAAATCTTCCAAGTCCCGAGTTCCCCCTGGTTCGTCCGATCGTTTGAAACGGTCGTCCGAGAACATCCCCCAAACACCGATGTTTTGGTCGTCCATATCTTCAGGACCAGGTGACAACAAAAGCACGACAAGCGCATTGTAGAACCCAAACGAAGCATGCGCGGGTATCGGCATCAGGTATCATTCTGGAATAAGTTGGTTTTTGCACATACGTCGTATATATTGAATTGTACTTCAGATGCCACAGCTTTCGAGTACTTCCCACCGCCCTCCTTCGTGTGTGGTTCACACACACGCGCTCGAGTTCCCCAGCACGGCCAGCTTGGTGTTCTCCACCGAGACCACCTAGGTCATCGACGAGCCGACTCCGCCGACCGGGTCGCGCGCGCGCGCGCGGGTCGCGGCGCATCACGCTGGGTCCTGGGACCTTCACACCGGGCAGCACTGGAAGTTCTGTCGTCCTCAAACAAGGTGCTGAAGCAAAAGACGGACTGTCCCTCTACCCTGCAAGTTCTGCCAACAAGTCAAGTCATTTTAATGTCGGATGCTGGGTGTGGGAGGTAAACATGTTGAGAACTAGGAACTCGATGTCACATGTTGAGATATCCGTTGGGGTTTCATGTCCATGATGGAAAGCATTCATGAAATCATTGTGGTCATGGTGATACTAACAGAACATAACAAACATTGTTGTTTGATTGTCTGATATATAGTTTTCTGGTTCTCATCTGAATTATCTATAACTGGATCTTCCCAGTGACCGTCCTTGATCTCCTGGTTTCAGGTCACTTAGGCCTGTGTTTCAGGTCAAAACTCAAAAACAGGTCACTGAGAAGGTCCTGGTACCGTTCTATACCTAGGATTCCACCCACCATAAATTCAATGGTTATTGCCAAGTTATTGCATAACAAGCATTGTTCTACTCAGATCATCTAAAATCTACTAAGGATTTTACACTACAACAGGCCATTGTCTAAATGGTGTTTGAAGGCTAGGGTATCGGTTGAAGCCATGCTTGTTTCACATCCACACGTTGACGACGCAAGATCAGATACCCCTTACGTCAATTCCTCATGTCAAGCCGAAACGTGCGCTGAAAGTAGAAACATGTAGAAACCCTCCTTGAGGTGTTTTTGTCCGACCTGTCCTCCTCGTCGTTCTTCTTTTCCAGTGGTACAAACACTCTTCCGCACAAACGAAAAAACACAAAAAGAATCAAAAAGAACAGAACCGTGTTCAGCAGACGACCCGCCACATCGTTCAACGTTGTTTTTTCGTTCATGTCTTTTCTCCGCACAGATCGGAGCACCCCGGCCCCGAGCGTTTGAGGATCCGCATGCTGTGCTGGTGCCATCGCGCCCGTGTGGTTTCGACCTCGACCACCGGCTCCAGCGCTCCGGGGGGGGGGGTGCAGCTCCATCCCCTTGTTCCTCGCCTCTGGTCCAAGTGTACCACCTGGCGCAGACGGACGACGCCACTCGGCCAACGGGTCTGAACTTGTTTAAAACGGGAGTCGAACGCAAAAGAAGGGTGAACTAACAGAAGGTCATGGAAGGTCCTGGTTGTTGAGAAGTTGGAGAAGCTTCAACTTCAGACCGACGTGCGAGCTTCGCAACACGGCACAGCGCAGAGCGCTCGTCGTAGTTGGGGGACTTCTATTTTAGATGGGAGCACATATATGGCTGTGGGTCAGAACCAGGACACCCTGGTTGACCGCCAAGAATGAACAAAATAGACTACCTGGGAGGTCAACCTACCCTGGTTTGGGGCTCTGGGTTTTGACCGGGCAAGCCGCATGGGAAGCTGCTTCGCATGGGTTCCAAACCTGGTTAAAGCAGGTGGTTTCTGAAGCACCTTGGGATGCGTCGACGCGCCCATGAGAAGCACGTGGAAACATAAACTAGAGTTCAACTGCCATCCTTCTGAAGACCTAAGCCGCACGTTCTTTGAACAACATGAAGGCAACTGCTCGTTTCTCCAGATGTTGTGTTCTCCCCTTCATGAGTTTGTCCAATCTCCCAAACATTCTATATTATACGTCCGAGTCAGTCCGAATCCAAAGGTCATGCAGGCTTCTTCCCTTTATAGCCTTTAAAGTCTTCACTGCCTATGAAAGGCCGTGACGGACAGGGACCGCAAGTCGCGCGGTTTCGCCTTTAAGGTTCGTTCTCCTTCCTGGAAAAAAAACAGAACTGCTTCATTCCCACGGTCTTCCCTGCGTTCGGTCGGACCCACCGTGAGGTCTATCGAGCTGGAGAGTTGTGGCGCCCAGGGAGCCAGACAGCGCCTCGGACGGTGGAGATTCGTTGGTTCTTTTGGAAGAGAAATTGATGCATCAAACGTCCTGGACATGGCCAGAAAGGGAGCAAACATGTTGACTCTGGACCCAATGATTCCGACAATTGCACTACTGCAGTATCGCTTCCATGACGCCATGAGGGGGAAATGAAAACCCCGTGACCTGAGATCTTTGCTCATTTCCAGCGCTGGCAGCGACATGTTGGAAGGCAAAATGAGTCATGCAAACTCGAATCGAACCCCCAAAAGCATCGATCCGGTCCCAAGGGCGAAGCGGAATACATCGGAAGGCTATACCATGGCTATACCATGGTATACCAACCTGCCCTGTCTCGAGAACAGCCCTGTCCCAAGCATCCATCCCTGCACAGTCCGGACCTCTCTAGGGGTGAGGAACCAGACCCTCACCCGGAGCATCCGAGGCTCGGACAGGATTTCCTTCACGCGGAAGGTCCAAATCTCAGGCGGTCGAAGAACACGCCCCAAAAACGAATCGAAAACATGACATGAGTGGCGCAAGCTCCAGTTCACCTGCTACAGAAAGCCCCCATTCATACTGGATGCATGCATCCGCACCGGAGAAAACAACTCCAACCCGTCCACAGGTACGCGTAAAAGTCCAACGGTTTGTACGATCCCGCATACTGGATGGCTGTAATGCTCATGTCATCTCCACTCAGCCATCCAACGCGCTGCGGGGGGGGTCATGGTCGCAGCTCACAGGTTGTCCATGGTCATCTATTTTGAACCTCTCAGTTCGAGAAGCTTCCAAGACTCGCAGACCATCTTCCAAGACTCGCAAATGAACCAAGACTCGGTGAAGCAAATCAATGAAGACCGTCATGAAGACCAACGACCAAAGGACAGGAATCTCCCCACTTGATGCAAAACCAAAGGGCCCACGTCAATAGGACCATTAGGACACTTGCATGTCATGTCGTAAGTACGCATACCAACTATAATCAACTATAGGACGGGTTACAAATACAGGGCACCAAAGCGGCGCAAAAAAAATATATAAATATATATATATATATAGCTTTCCTATTCACCCTACGTTCACCCCTGTAGGTGCGATTGTTGGGGTACACCACTCGTGAGAAGTAGTGTTTGGTCACAGATGATCCCCGCTTCTATCCGCCGGGTGACCATCTGGTGGATGTTCGTTCATGTCAATGGCCATATAGAATATCCCTGCGTTGTAATCCCCACCCATCAAGGACGGCCATTTGGGTGTTTTGGGTCATGGCTCCAATGCCCGTATGCTATGTATCCAGAGTCCAGAGATGTGTGATTCCGAGTGCCTCCCGAGACTCTGGTTCCCCATGACGTTGACGATCATCCCTAAGACCCCGGTGGTAAAACTAATCAAGGACCCTGAACACCCATGGGGTTTGTAGAGGAAAACCCGTCTTTCCAGGTCCGACTTGGCTCCATCTTCATTTTCGGGAGTGATATCCCATGATATCCCATTCTTCTCCTCTTTTTCTCTTTGTTGAGAAGCCTCCCCTCCCAGGTCCGCCTGCAGTGCATCTGGAACTTCACCTGAGCACGACGAGTTCCTCGTCCCGACCAGCTACTCGACCAGCACTGGACATGACCAGCAGGGAACTTCGCCCCCAGAATGGTTCTCATCGGACGCAAGGAAAACCGGATATGCCCTGGAAAAGGCTCAAGCGAACGTTCCACCTCTTGGTTTTTTGAGTGGGTTTTCCAGTTTTCCCCCAACATGGTTTTTGCACATCCACTTTATTATATAATTACCTGGTTTTAAGGAATTCTTATCATGGTCTTCAACTGTTGATGCCTGGGTTGGACTTATGCCAGTCACTCAAGCTGTTGGGTCCTAAAACATCTACAGTAAATAAAACTGTTTGCAATGGGTTCCAAGGATGCGAGAACGAGCCATGCCATAGAAGGCAGGCGGAGGGAAGAATTGAAGGCAAGCGGAAAAAAGGAGAAGCACGGAGAAGCCAAGAAAAGAACAAAGAAGCGCATGCCAGGGTCCTATCCATGGAGGTAGGGTCGAAAATTCATGGAGGAAGGAGGCTAAGTGCTCACCACATCCACTGGATGGGAGGAACCACACCACCCAACTCCAGGCGACTCCTGGAGACCCTGCTTTTCGAGCCCGAAGAACGGGGACATTTGACATCTGTTCATCGGCGTCAAACGACTTCGGCCCTTCAGACATTCAGCCCTCCGAAACCGGCCGCCCGTCCTCCATCTAGGAGCGTCTGCAGCTCTTGATCAAAGACCTGAAGGCAATTACAGTGACTTCAGAGTACATGGCACAAATTGCCAACAATTACGGTGCTTTATAACACATATAATACCATAATCAACGCCCTCGTTCGGGTGCCAGTGCCACAGTGCCCTCTGAAACCACTGTTTTTGACGGCACAGGTGGTGAGGGAAGAGACCGGGAGGACCGGGACCGCCGGTGACCCGGACCGGGCACGGACCGAGCGAGACCTCTGCGGGATCAAAAACCAACTGGTTCCGAAAAACCGCAAGAAGCAGCATCTGCCAAACCTGGATGGTTTGATGGGATCCATATTCATCTTCATACCTGAGTCCTCCAACTACTAGTATGCCAAACTTCTGACTTTCGACAGCGTTTAGCGGCTCTTTTGTCTTGAGCCAAAGCCGTTCAGATTCATGCATATTAGCACGAAAGACTTTGTGATCAGCATCTGCATATATACACCTGCCATATCTCCTGTGAAACAACGTCCCCCCGCTCGAAATATGGAGCAGCGCCAGCTTTGGACCTCAATGAAGACCCCCCAGCCAGGCGTTCGTAGAGGTCGCGGAATCAGCTCCTACTTTTCGAAACAGTGAATTGAACTTTATGGCAAGGTAAAAACAATAAATTCGGGCTGCTCTCAGGAACGTTTCACGTGAGACCCGCGCAAGCGCAGATGACTCACGGTGCAGAGGCGAAGCCAGAGGCAGCTAGCAGCGGCTCAAAAGGCTGCACTTCCTTAGATAGGACCCGCGTCAAACGCTGGAGACCTATTTGCCTTTTGCTACACCGCTTTGAAAGTCATCCAATGCCTTAGTCCAAGTGATTGTGGGTTGAACTTCAGGTGGGATAAGACCTTAGTGAATGCATCCCCTAGCTGGAGATGCGTTGGGCAATGTTCCAAGGCACACCACGAAGTGAAGGCTTGGTTTAACGCGGCAAGGGACAACTTTGGGGTGCGTGCCAAATGTCTCAGTTTTACTGAGTACCCTTTGCGTATCGCCTGGTTTACCGCGGAGTTGTCCTCCAATGCTCTCACCTTAGGCACATTCTTCGACAGAACCTTTTCTAAGAGCATGTAGGCAGGCAGCAGTTCTTCGCGCAACCCCTCAGCCAATCAGTTCAACTCCGCCTCAGCGGTAGATCGAGCAACATGAGATTGCCTCCGAGCAGACCATGTTATTGGGACAAACGTACCATTTGGACCTTCAATTACTATGAAAAGGCCTGAAGTTGACGTGGCTGTGAATGAGCCCAAGTCTGCGTCAGCATACATGTTGAGAAAACAGTTGCTTGGGGAATCCATCACCGAAAAGGTTAGACACAGGTTTCTAGTACTCCATAAGTAAGAGACCAGCCTGAACAGTTGCTTGTCTGAATTCCTACTCCAGCGAGTGACCTGAGAAGCCAAGGAGCTCACGGCAAACGATAAGTCAGGGCGTGCAAGTCTTGTTAACCAGAGTAACTTCATGAGAACAGTACTAGCCTGGTGACCAACCTGACCATCCGTCTGATAGTCGAGATCATTTGAAATCCCATCAGATACGTAGGGTGTTGACACTTTTCGGAACTTGACTTCGTGTCCCACGACCTCAGTGTAAAGTTGAATGGCTTGGTCCGCATAGTCTACCATATCAAGTATGCACTTACCAGGCTCAAAGTGATGGGCCCTGCCTATGAAAATGAAGGAATTGTTTCGACATCCTCCAACTCCACCAGGGTTTTCAGGGTATACCAAAACTTTTGCTGATGGTATGTGGGTCCTGCAACCAGAATATCATCCACGTATACCACTCCAACAGCTTGGTGCGGGGGGCAAATGTAAACACTGGGATGGCTGTCAAGTGCTTCAAGTTTCATGTCGCCCAAAAGAACCTGCTTCAGGTGCATGTCCCAAAATGCAGCAGCCTGCGGATGGCCGTAAAGTGAGCAGTGGTACACAAGGCTTCTTGCACACCCCCCGCCAATGCGGGAGCCAGAGCTCCTCAGGAAGACAAACATAATACATCTTTTCTGCATCCTGGTTCAACAAAGATGCCTGCAAATAAGCTTTTACGCAATCTGCGGCCCAAATGCTATTACCATGAAGCATACCATAGAACAATGCTATGTTTGTGGCTTGCACGTTGGTAGGTAGCGAGTAGAGTTGGCCAAAGACGGCAGCAGATCCCCAGGCGTCGCGAACATCATCGCCGCGAAGCACTATACGTCCCTTACGTCGCCTCTTGGCTGGTGTTTCCCAGTGTTTGATGCTTGCGATACTCATGATTTCGGCGATATATATGACTTCGCCAGCAGCCTTGGCTGCCTCCAATCGATCATTCTTTTCCATTACATCATCATCATCCCAAGCCCCCCTTTTCCTCACACCTTCACCTTCATCCCTTACCGCCTTCAACGCATCCGGAGCAGAGAGCATTTGTTTGCGAGTTAGCAGCTTGTAAATGGTTCCGAGTATTGGCAAGGATGGGATCAGAACAAACACTTCTTTTTCGCGGTGAGCGTGTTGCTCAAAGGGCTGAAGCGGCATAGCAGGAACACGATCAACAATAACCCCTGGAAACAACAAAGTCAAAATGGCAACGGCCATCTCTACGTTGTATATCCCAGATTTGGCAGTGATGGAACCTTCAAGGACATCATGTTTGTGATCTTTTGCGTGTGAACATGTTTTGGACGCCATACCCCCCCCGCATTCTGTCAGAGGTCGTTTGGATTGTCCAAGGCCTCAGTGGTCGTTTACCGTCTATTCCCAAGTGGAAAGCACATCCGTCAACATTCACCGGTTGCATGTTAAGGGCGTGAATCATTTGTTGGACCACCTCTTCTTTCCACCCTTCGACTTCCTTGTACTTTTCAACGAGCCTCAAAGAATGTTGCCTAGCTTCCAAAAGGTCCTGGGCATATGCTTCACCAAACCTGTGAACCAAAGTAGCAACTGTTCAAACTGTTGCGGGTCCTCAACATTCAAGGAGTCTTTCGTGATGCCTAGGTAAGGGACACCTAGATGGCGGGCAACTCTGCAACATGCGCTTTCATCTTGGCAACAGAACTCAACAAACAATCCTAGTTGTTCCTTCCTTTTGGTTGTTCCGATCATACCACTCACCAACTCACCCAGTTCGTCAAGCGGAGCAGAAGCCTCTGGGGCGATGGAGGGCGAATACGAGAACGTGGACTCAAGATCACTGTCGCCAGCCGGAGGGCACTCAGGAACATCCTGTCCAACAGCGGGGTCGTCGAACTCATCTCCTTCAAACAACCTAAGAAACCTGCACTCGGCGAGTTGTCCTCTGGGAAGCTTCTACTTCCTTGGGAGGCAGTGGTTCATCCTCGTTCAAAAGACGATTGAAGCGAGTCCTACATTCTGATGTGTGCAAATAGGTTCCTAGCCGACAACCGCTACATCCTTCAGTTTGTCCATACAATTCAATCCGACGCTGTGTGATGGAACGATTTCTAGCTGGTTGCTCTTCGTCTAGGAGAGGGTGATGATGTTCAAATGATGGAGGATGATCTGTGATTGGTCCCAGACTCTTGAGCATGGGAACGGAAGTCACTGGGAACACCCACTTTCCGAAAGGAAGTCCCATGGTGACAATCTCCTTGATTCTACTTTCACGCCTTTAGGTCATACAAGACATGTGTGTCTTTGAAGCGCATTGCTGGAAGTACTTCAGGTCCAACATACAAGGCTGGGATAGTAGGCAGAAAACTACTACTTGTTTCAGGTTTCTTGTACCAAACCAAAGACCCAAAGGGAAACATTCTACCTTCAACAGGGTAAGTCAACGCCATGTGAAGCTTACTTTCCCATTCCAATTCGAGGGAATCTTCCTCGTCTTCCTGCTGTGCTTGACGCACTCTCCCTCTCAAACTTTCATCTTGGATGTTAGGAGGAGTAGTTGCACTGTATTGGAAACAGAAACATGTCAAAACCTTTGGCCAGCGCTTCACATCCAAGCCACTTTGAAGCAAGAACGATCTGGTTCCTTGGCGGATTCCCTTAATTGCCGATTCCGCATCTGGATTGTGGAACTTGTCGCCAGGCGGTGACGGTTCAGGATGCATGCCAAGGTCCCTATAATTGCCGCCAGGATGCTTGGATACCGATCTGAAGCTACGACCGGTTGTGACTCTACTGAAGTGTCGCAAAGCCGCTTCGACTGACTCTTGCGACTTGTCAATGGCTGGGTAGGCAAAGAACGAGCCGGAGTACACATCAACACAAACCAAGGCACATTTTTCACCCTTTGAACCACCTTCAACCGCCTCTAAATGGTCGCAAGCGATTCTTTGAAGGAAAGCCCTTGGGGCCTCCACGACTTGGGCGAGTTTCTTACCTTCAGCTTGATGTGGAAACCTTCGATGTGGATGTGTTCTAAGCTTGGCTTGTCTACAAACATCACAAGAAGATGAAGCTGGTTGATGGGTCAGAAAATGATCTACAGGGATCTTCTTCTTGTTGGCCTCCATTGGTTCTTGGGAACCTCTTCCTTGTAGTCCTCTGGGGCAACACTTTCCTCTACACCGGCGCCATGGGCAGAGGGGCCAACCCCCGAGGCAATCAGTTCTGGGGAATGCGGAGAACATACCAATTCAGGTGGAGTTTTTTCAACAACAAAGTCAACCATTTCACTTTCGTCTGCGCCGGTTTCACCTGCTGGACCCGCGTCGGACGCTGAAGACACAGCAGGCATCCCCGGAACAAACGATACTTACTTCGTCAACAAAAATAGGAACCCCATGGTCCACCCGACTGGCAGCGAAACACTTCTCTACATTGCACTTCACAGCAACGTGTTCTCCAGGAGGAACTAAAGTCGGTTCATAATCTTGTCCCCAAAAGAAAACAAATCCTTTCTCTACCATTTTTCCAAGACTCTAGACGAACTGACGCGACATCAACAAGTAAAGCAACTCGCCCCCAAACTTGGACCCACTCAGACCGATTGTATGATTGTATGGTTGGTGCCCTTTGGGCCACCCCCCCCGTATCAAAGGTCAAGGGAAAACTTGAGCAAGTTTCAAACTCACGGAGTACATCATCCGGAACCCCTTGCTTGGCAAAAGCTTTCAAAGAGCTGAGGTTCTCACCGGCTCCTGAGTCTAAGGCCCATTCAAGTTCATACGACCTGGAGGCACTAGATGTTGACGCTGCAGTCGCAACACCTCACATCACCGATGCAGCTGTAAGCAGGGCAACTAGACCTGCTTTAGCCTTAGGAACCGACACAGGTTCTGCTTTTGGCGCCGGTTTGTATGGACAATCATCTCCCCGTCTGCATAGACCTTTAGGATAAAAGACACATGGGCCCTTCTCTCCACCGTCATGCGACGAAGTAGCTCCAGAAGCACCTTGGGCACCTCCTGCCTCATCCTTGGAGCCTTGGGGTCCTGGTGCATTGGCACCTTTGATTTTCTCCTTACCTTTGCCTTTGCTTTTTCCCTTTCCTTTGTCACCTTTGATTCCTTTTGCCTGTCCTTTCTTTTCATCGCCTCTTCCTGCAAAATTCTTGCTGGCTCCTTTGTCTCCCTTTCCCTTACCCTTGTCACCTTTTGAACCTGGGTTACCTGGGACATTCACTTTGCGTGGCCCTTTCCGCAAACCATCTTGCATTGACTGCAAGTTCTTGTCATGTTGCGATTCTACAATGACCCGTTGCAACCGTGCCCACAAATAGTCATAAGATCTTTCGTCTGAACCTGCGGAAAATTCCTTTACACGGTCAATGACGAGTCTAAGAGGCCCACACTTCTTGAGCTTTTCGAAGAGCCATTTAGCCAAAATGCTATTGGAAGGCCTTTCAGACGTGGGTAGTTGGTTCAAAATGTAATGAACACGATCGCGAAAAGTCACCAAGGAAGCAATTGAATCATCTGGACTTGGTAATTGGAAAAGCTCCACTGCTAACACTACCCCCCCCAACGCTGAATCAAGATCAAACTCTCGAACAACCAGATTCAGAATGACCCTTCCTCGAAGACTTCTTCCGGAATTCAAAGCTTCCTCCAAATAACCCTGGATGCGATTACCAAAATGGCCCTTGATGGCATCAGGTTTGGTCATCCATGAACACAAGACACGGTCAAAACGATCGAAACCTTCACTGTTGTTCTTTAAAAGCTCAATCTCTTGGGGGGGTGGTGCTGTTGAACGCCTTCTTAAGCCAGGTGAAAAGTAAGTTTTCGGGAGATCGGTCAAGAGCCATAAACACAGGCCAAATAGAATTCTTTTCCAAGCCCTCAAAGCCCCGGCTGACTCGGGAAGTGGCGGCAGCCTGACAGCCATTACGTCTTTCCACTTCCACCTGATCATCAGGTTCGTCCTCCGACGATTTGGGGTCGTGGGCTTTTGGAGAGGTTTTGTTTGTGGGGGATGGCGAGCAGTCAAACGAATTACCGGTGTGTTTGGCTCCTCGCCGGCAATGCTGACTTCCTCATCCCAACCCTCTACGCGTTCTTGCAATTCCTCCAGGCTGGATTTCATTTCGTCCCACATGACGCGAGCCTTTTGTTCAAAAGCCACCTGGCGGTCTGCAAGGTCTTGAACTATGGCCTGCATCCTAGAAAAGGCGTCGCTTGAAGGCGATTGACCCGTATCATTTTGCTCATGCAATGCCTGCTGCTGGAGTTCTAGCTGCTGTTTGTGTTGCTGCTTCTGTAGCGCTTCAATTTGAGCAATCAGATGTGCTTCCTTAAGTTGATACTGCGCTCGCATGTCTGCTTCTAAAGTTGCGCCTTTTGCTCAACTTGGTTGACCAACGACACTGCCTGTTGGCGGACCACCGCGGTAACACCTGCTGTGTACTCACGAGCTTGTCGCGAAATCTCTGCGACAACGCGGTGTGCCTCTTGCGATGCTTGGTTGGCCTCTTGACGCGCACTTGCTACTGCTTGAGACGCTTCAGCGACTATCTGTGGGTCAGCAACAATTGTGTGTGAATGCAATGACCTAGCATCTACGTACACTTGGTGTACCTGGGAGTGTGCATCTTGAAGTCCTGAGGCTGAAACCGGATCACCCTCTGTGTCCATGCAGTCTAGTTGGGTACTTTGGGCCCTATTCTCAATTGGTCTTGGTGTCTTTTGAAACATTTCCTTCATAGTATGTTTCTTTGGGACAGGAGTTTGCCAACCAACCCGCGCAAGCGCTGAAGATGGCCGCCGTTTACCTTTGGGGGGCGCTGGACCTAGATGATGGACTAGTCTCCCTCGTTTCCTGCAAGCTAACGTTGCCCCCCAACCCCTTGAAGTTGAGACGAAGTTGAAGACACGTTCAACGAGCTTTGACCATTAGACTCATTAGACGAAAACATTCCTCCCTCATCTCTGCACCCAGGGAAAGCGGCCCTCCACTCCTTTGCTGGTCTGGGCAAGCTGCCCGAAGCCAGCTCCAGCACCCTTGAAAAAGAAGAGGCACGAAGAACTGTGCTGTCTGCTCGAGAGCGGTTGGAGTCAGGAGTGTACCAAACCAATTGGGGCAAAGCATCTTGGGAACCCAAAGCGCCTTGGCAAGAATACAGGTTGGCAACTTGATCGTCACAAAAGGTGGAGGCTCCAGATTCTACAACAACAGGACCCTTGTCCTCCTTCCTCGGAACGATTTTCAATCCAACTTGTTTGAAAACCCCAACGCTAGCAAGGTACCTGTTCAACTCTTGAATTTGACCAATCGCGTTTTCACGTCTTTGGGCCCAATCTCTGCCGTGCTTTCCAATATATGAGCAAACACCAATCTGGTTGTAAAAGGATTCTTCTAACCAACCCTTCAAGGCAGATGCAACTTGATGCGGGATTGCTTCTTCGGAGATAGTTTCCCACCTATCTGGGGGCCGACACACGTCCAAAACGTGGTGGTAGTCCAGCACGAGCAGATTGACAAGAGATGGACTGGGAGCAGTCTTGGGAGCAGCCACGGGAACAGACGATGGACGCAATTCCGCCAGGGGTGACGATGTCAAGACTTGATGACGCGAAGCACTGGCAGAAGGACCAGAAGCAGGCGAGGGCGGAGCCTCCACCCTCAGAGGCGACAAAGGTGGGAGAGCACAGGGTCCAGACGTGTGGGTGGACGAGGCAGAAGCAAACTCAGCTGTGACAGGCGGTGGGCTTTGCACCTCCTCAACAACTATTGGTCTAGGTTCAGGCGCCTTTGCAGCAAAACCCTTAGGAACGAACTCCCCTCTTTCAAAGCGTTGTTTTAGCTCTGCTTGTTTCTTGGCTTTCGTACCACCACGTTCACCGCGTCTAGCTTTCTTTACTGCTTCACCCTCACCAGGCTCCTCCTCTTGCATACACGAGGCTCTTTGGATCTTGTCCAGATGGAAGACGGCAGTCCACGGCAGCGCGCAGAAGACAGGCAACGTAGCAGCTATGGCTACGGCTGATAACCGCGTTTAGCGGTTCTTTTGTCTTGAGCCAAAGCCGTTCAGATTCATGCATATTAGCACGAAAGACTTTGTGATCAGCATCTGCATATCAAAGATTTTGCATAATTGGAAAATCTATGTATATATATATACCATTATTTTTAAAAAGGCACCTTTGGGCACTGCTGGTACAGTATCCGTCGATGGTTTATCCCAAACATCCAGGTAAATCGTGGATGATGATGATGATGGTGATGATGATGATGGTTCTTATATATGAAATTTGCAGGCCTTCAGATCTCTAAAATAGTACTATAGAATGATGTTCTTGCGGCAAGAACAACTGAGTAGCACCAGGCAACGTAGCACGGTCGACCCAAAGAATCCAGCCAGACAGGCGAGATGACAGATCCTTATTAATTGTATCTCCCTGGACATACAGGGGGGGGGGTCTTGACAGTGATTTTATACATATATGTCCATGCTGTCCATGGATATTTAGTTATTATATTCTCCATATATGTCTCAATCCATGGTCCCTACGGATCCATACTTTCTGAGAAGGTGATTGCCAACTATTGATGTGGGCGCCTGGGTCGGGCCCAGTCATAGCGAACCTGTTTTCTCAGGTGGCAGCGGATCCCTAGGGTTTTTTTTTTTCGAAGGCCCCCCCTTCTCGGTCTGTGCTCTTTTTCGATGAATCGAAGAATCCAATCAGATCATGCTCGATGAATCGATGTTCGCTTTGCCCTCAGGACCTGGCTCTGCGGGTCGCTTCCCCCTTCTTATCCATGCGCGACAGATCTGAATCGTTCAGCCAAGATGCCTCAGATCTGCACAAGAGGAGTCATTCCATGAATGCAGCTGACAAGATGGGGCATTAAACGCCTCAAGGCCTCAAAGGTGATTTTATCAAAAGTGTTCGAAGATGCATGGAAAGATGCTTCCTGCTTCCAGTCACTGATAGAGGGGTAAGAACAGAAAGGTTACATGCACGTTGACCTCTCTTCGCCACTTCACCCTCTCCCAGCACACCCGGTCCTCCTCGTGCAGAAGCCCCTTGTCTTGCAGCACCAAAATGGTCCAATCCCAAACATTCCCCCAAAAACGGAGGACGCATTTGGGTCCTGTCCAATTTGGAGTCTCTTTTTAAACCATGGCCTGGCCAAGGGGTACACTCCGACTCACTCACATGGAGGGCATGGTCCCTTGGAAGAAAAAGAATATTCCTTTCCAAACAGGGGGCGCCACCCCCCCCATGTCCCCCATGTGATGTGTTCCTTGGAGGGTCCGTGTTCCCTGACCCAAAGTACTCAGTCCATCGCTTCGTCTTCGGTCTGGGTCCACCAGCCTGCACCTTGTCCAGGTGGCTGTGGACCTCAACGGACAGGTGGGAACCCGGCCAGCATGCGACCGGGCACTGACACGTGACAGCAAAGACTTGTTGAAGCGAATTAGATGTTCATTCTTAATCTGCCACATCAGGATACATGAAGCAAGGGCCTCACTGGCATCCCTCGCGTATTCGCCGCAGAATTCCTGCAAACACACCAAACATGTTCACCAAATCCCCCAAACACCCTCATGAGGTATGAGTCTGCTCACATGCAATCACTGTATCAGGGATATAGGAAGCAAACTAGGGCCCCCCCACTGCAGTTCTGGAGTGCTTGCCATAAGCAATGCTCTTCTCCAGCCCTGCGAAGCTCTCGTGACCGGCCAAGCAGCCGGTCACGAGGGTTTTGGAGCCAAGTCCGCCCAAGGTAGCTGGGAAACACCAGAAGAATCGTAGGTTGACCTCCAACTGGTGTGGACTGGTACAAGTCCTGGTGCCTTTTTTTTCGCAACGACATTGACAGTGACTGGTACAGCCAGTAGACCGGTGACTGGCCGGTGACTAGGTCCGGCTCTCTTCCAAACGAAGACTGTCAAGTTCCGCTAAATCTGTGGTGGTGGTAATACTAGTGGTAGTAGTGAGTAGCAGCAGCAGTAGTAGTAGCAGTAGTGGTAGCAAGTGTAGTGGCAGTAGCGGTAGGAGTGGTGGCAGTAACAACAGTACTAGCAGCAGAGGTAGTAGTAGTAGTAGTAGTAGTAGTAGTAGTAGTAGTAGTTGTTGTTGTTGTTGTTGTAGTTTGTAGTAGTAGTAGTTGTTGTTGTTATTGTGGCAGTGGTAGCACTAGTAGTTGTGTGATCCAAGGGCTTGGATCACACACCCACCTTTTGATCCATACCCTATGGATCGAGGTATGGATCGTGTGTGGGTTTGGGTGTGTGATCCAAGCCTTATGTTTCTGGCCGTAGCCATATAGCGACATCATTCATCATCCTTCCATGGGTTTGCCGCTTAGGAAAGCACCGGTCACAAAAAACACCGACTCCTCCTTCCCTTCCGCCACACAACACATGCATCGATACTACCCCCCCCACCCCTCCGCCTTCGACACGGAGGAAGGACAAGCCAAAGCGTTCCAGCTCTTTGCCTGGGCTGAACCTCGGTCCGTCTGGGCTGAACAGACGTCCATGGAACTAGCGTACGGCTTCTCTTTGGACATCTGCTTGGTCTATTTCTCCGTGAAACAAAGCTTGGTGAGCCTTACTGTCATCTACGAGGTTTCCGGGAGTGGTGAGCCTTACCAAAACTCATGTTCCAAAGTCTACAGTATCTACAGTCTAGAGTCTACAGTCCTATAATACTGGTAAAAATAGGTTTCTCCTCTCACCTTGCATTGGGTCCGTGGACATCCGTTTGACATTGAAAGCTTTCTCTGGTGTCTTGGATTCTGCGGCGGTTTCACCCGTTCGATTTTGCCGGGGATGGATATCGACGGATAATCACGTATACACAACCTTGCATGTTTTTTTGATTCTTTTTGCACTTGGAGCAAAGGGCATCGCTACTAGGAGCAAGGACGCTACTAGGGGCTCCTGGCCTTACTACTAGGAGCACGAAGCTACTAGGAGCAAAGGTGTGCACGGACAGAGACTTGGCAAGAGAGTGTTCGTGTTCGTGCTTGCCCAGGCAGCGACCAGTGCCCAGCGAGCGACCTGTCTCTAGGTCGGTCTTTCCATATGTGCGCACCATGCTTTCTGTATGCGCAGGGTGTGCAGCAAAAGACCTTTCAAAGGGATGCCAAATGTGTGCGCATCGAATGTCAACACCGCCACGCCCCAACTCACCCCCCCTGTACATGAGCAAGCAACGTGATGCATGAAGCAACATCCAATAAACGACGAGGTGATGTGGATGAGTTGATGTATATATGACATATGATGAGGTCACCTTGACACAAGGATACCAGAAAGCACAAGTGAAAAAATGGACGCTTGCTGGCCGAACCACAAGCACCGGCTTCTTCGAGTAAGATGGTTTCGGGACCGTTCGTCCCAATGCGAGAGGTCACTGGAGGAGTCCAAAAAGGCTTCGGCAGGAGTCCACTAGTCCACCACCAACCCATGCGTTGAAGAAATCCGACAAAGCAACATGGAATCTCTGAGGTCTGCGGGTCGTGTTGCGGTTTTGAGGACTTTTGGGAAGGTCAAAGCGAGCAGATTCACAGCGGACAGATGGTGTCACGGTCCTTTTCGATCGTGTCAGGAACAAGGAAAATTGAATAAAATTGACCCAAACTCATGGGTTGGGGGCTGCCTACTACTTACACATATACAAGTCACTAGGGAGACGGACCAGTCTACCACTTGCAGTGTCCAGGCATCGGACGTTGCAAGTTCGTGAGCTCCCTGGGCCCAATGATGAACCACCTGACGCCGGTTGATGAGAGCACGATGATGAGAGCTACACATGTATCTTGGCCTAAGGAATCGGTGAAAAAAGAACACGTGTTCACTATAATCCCCCTGCCAGGGATTACCTTATAAGCCTTATGACTAATTGACCCTATTATCAGCTCTGTCCCCAGAAGAACACCATCACAAGCCCCGCGTGTTTGCTCATCACCCTAGGGGGGAGAACACCGAACATCACCTTCCAAAAGCCCAACGTCCCCGGAGGATCCCGATCCGGATCGGCCTCCCCCGGAGGATCCCAAAGAGACCCATCCTTCAGGTCCGTCGTTCTTCGGATGGAACGCTCCGGACGGCCATGGAATGAGGAGAACATAGGGGAACCACAGATGGATAGTGATGCCATGTGATGCCCGGGAGATGGAACCACAGAGATGGAACCACAGAGACAAATGCATGGAATCGCGTGAGTCTTGGAGATGCCAGGTCAGACCGACCCGCTGAGTCGGTGACGGCCGGGGGACGGGTGCCTGGATTGCTCCCTGGGAACACCAGAAACCAATGAATCTGTGCCCAAACAACCACTTTCTTCTGTCAAAGGTCTCAATTGCATTCAATTACCATCATTGGGTGTCCAACGTTTCTGGTCAGGACTGGGTGTCCAGTAGCTCCCCAACCTTTGCAACCCTCTTTCCTCTCAGATTCTCTCAAATGACTCGACGGGATTCGACGGGAGAAGAACCAGCTTGGTGCCACTTCAGTTTAGTGCTCCAGCTCTACATACCGTTCTCCAACATACTTCTCCGGGCTGGCTGAACCATATTGAGTAAGAAGATGCCACCCAAATCCACCCAATTCCAGAACAACTTTCAAAACTGTTGAGCCCCCTCCTGACCAGAGAAGGCTTTGCCCCGGAGCCACGCAGTCCCCATCAAAACACCACCTCCCCTCCCAAAGTGCATATAGGGAGTCTCCGGACCTCGTGCAAGAGGCAGGCAGCAAAGGGTCGCCCCTCAGTCCTTGACACCAACCGCGAAAAAACCGCACCAAACCCGCGCTTGTTGGGCGGTGATTCGGGCGCGGTTTCCCGCGGTCACCTGGCTGGACCAGCCTACCCCTACCCGTCCAAGCGGGCGTCACCGTTTCCGCACCCAGACGGTGGTCCGATGCCTTCGTCCGGAAGTTCAGTTGGCTGGTTCGCGATCGCAGGACGTGACGCGGTAAGAGTTGCCCACGACTTGTGAAGTCGGACCCAGATGTTCACTGCAAAGGACAGTTTTCCTGTAGACTCTTGATGACTCTGTCATTACCCACCCCACTTCGATTGAAATCCTCTTCTGGGACAGTCGACCTCTTTGTTTCCCTGGAAAAAAACAGCGATCGCCGACCGCGACCCAAAAGTCCCGAGTGCGAAGCGCAAGATCAACTGAGTGCGCTTCAAGCAATCGAAAATCGTGTAGAGGCCCGACATGACTGCACCCCGCGCAGGCAAGTCTGACTTGCAAGCCTATCCTTGATACGACTACAAAAGTGGTAAATCCAGATTGCTTCTTAGATCATATATGCGAATTTGGCTCAAGTGGCAACAAGAAATGGTTTTCAAATTACGTGTGTTCAGCTCTTCCATCGCTTCTCTGTGTATTCACCTGTGCATGGTGAAAACATGCAGCAAGGCACCACTCCAACGGTGAACATGTGATGATTCGAAGGGTGTTCCTGGGAGCCTCGAACATGCAGCAAAATCGTATCAACATGCAGCAAGATCGAACCTGCGCCTTTCCATTGGCGTCAGTGAAACTCAAAGCACTTCTTTCATCTTCTTTCTACATTATCAACAATTCAGAACTGACTCCCTCCGTTTCCTTGAACACATATATAGTTAAGCGAACTGTCCACCAGTTCGTCCTTTGTGGGGGGGTGTCACCCAATCCCATCGAAAACGGTGACCTTAAAGGTTATGCACTGTTCCTGGAGAGGTCTGAATACAATGCTGATGTTTGGTCCTGTAGACTCCTGATTGTATTAAAATATATTAAAATGACTTGAACCCCCCCCATATTCAGAGGCTTTACATGCCTTTACAATGCTTTATCCATATCTCTGGGGGCTTGGTCAATCCGAAGCTTCAATCTGAATCGCTCCCCTCCGACCACGACTCCTGCCTCCTGCAAGTCGTGACCTGAGCAGTTTGTCAGCCGGCATGGGCATTCGCCCGTACCCCAGAATTGGTTTAAGGAAACATCTACAGGAAAACCATTGTTTTGGGGGTGAACATAAGGTACTGTTTTCCTGCAGATGTTCTCTTAAACCAATTCATTGACCCTGGTGAAACCGGCCGAGTTCCGTCTGACTCGCGGTGGAGTCTTGCTGGGCATCATGGCACGGTAGAGTCGCGAGCTCTTGCTGTCCTGCGAGAGTCGCGTGCTGCGACGGCGTGTCGAGCAGCGAAACCGACGAAACCGAGCAGTGAAAGGTCTGGAATGTCCCCCCTTCGATGGACCCCCAGTGAGGTCCTCGACCTTGTCTAAGACACTAAGAGTGACGAATATAAGAGACTACATACCGAAAGACCTTCAAGGGGTGTCCAATGGAGGTCCCTGTACGTAGTGTAGGGGCTTCCCCTTTTGAAGATGGTAGATACCTGATATACCTGGTATCTCCCCGGAGATTCGAATATGACTAGTCACATGACTAGTCAGGGATCCCAAGGGTACCCTCCCACGAACACATCACATGATCTAGAAATCCATTTGTTTGTAAAGGAAAATGGTCTTGCAAGGGCCCATGTTCGGCTTCCATTTCAGTGAGTCAGAGTGTCAGTGTTTTCCTGAAAGAGGGAGCCCAACCTCACTGCGTTTGCCCATGTGCTGGACGCAGCGGCGGCCGGTGCACCAACTGAGCCCGGACCGGGAGGGATACCGGGGGAGCCAAAAAAAGGCACATCGATCCTACAACCTGCAAAGAGATCATGCTTGCGCATCTGCTTGCGAATCATGGTTTGTGGGTCTTTACTAATCCAAGCACCATAGGGACTAGAGTTCATCCTACCACCACCAAGACTTAACCCAAGTGGTAGGACTTAACCAAGTTTAACCAACCCCAAGTGGTTTGACCACGTCGACCGAAGCGCGCGAACCGCGGGAACCGCGACCACCGCCGACCAGTGGTCAACCGTGCGAGCATCCGGCGGTTTCACCGCCGAATCGGTCCTTGTGGTGCAAGCGCCACAGGCCCTTCTTCGATGAAACCTGCAGGTAAAAACATCGGCAGTTAAACAAGAACCGCACTATTCACTCTTGTTATAGATACTGAAAAGCCACCCCCATTCCCTTTGGTAAAATTGCATGTTCACTCAGCTTGGATCAAGAATCTGAACACATGCACCGGTGTCGACTCATGGCACCAGCTCCGAGTTCTCGGGAAAAACCAGGGTCGTGGGTGCCATGACCCACAGCCGGAAATAGCTCTTGAAAAACATCCTCTGAGCCCTTGTTCAGATCGCCTCGGTGCTCCCGCCGGCCGCCGCATCCTCAGTGATTTCATGGGCAGTGCTCGATCTCGGCAAGGGATGCATCGCTTCTCATGGGTTTCCCTTTCTTCCCATGTTTTAGTCTGAAACCAACCAAGTGCCCTCAGCCTCCAGCCAAAAATCTGCTCTGCCATGCGTCAAAAGGGATACCCAGCCATCAAACTGCTTCTTCCAGGCAGGACACGAGACATCCAGTGTTCCCATAGTTACCAGTCAGGGATAGAGTTTCAAGCTCTTCCTCATACCCTCTTCCAAGCTCATTCAAGCCCTGGAAGAGATCGACCAAGCAGAGCCTTAGTAATTAGGGGGGTTCCATGGCTTCCATTTTACCGCAGGAAACCGAAAGAAACATCACCCTTTCTCCACACAAAAACAGAAACAAAGAGTTTGGGCCTCCATCTTGGACCAACCTCGCCGGAGCCAACATCCACACCCACACCGACCGGACACGCTCAGCGCACGGCGAGGTGAAACCTCAAGCCACGACCTGCGAGACCAGCAAATCGGAACGGTCCCCACCCGGTCCGGGTGAGGAGGGAAGCCATGCACAGCGGGGTGCGTCTGGCTTAGAAGACCAAATGGTACCGGGAAACCCCCCAAAACACCTGAGGGGGACCAAAACACCTGTTTGACCACCTCGGTGGGTGTCCCTGTACCTGGTGTCCGACTACACCTGTTCCCTCCCGAAACGAGGGATGGAACGGTCACCGATCCTCCGCACTGTCACGCTTTTCCTGGAAGCTGGAGGAATGAAATGGCCAGGACCTTCCCGACCTTTTGGGGAGTTAAGTGACCTTTCACAGGCCTGTTCGTGACCTGAAACCAGATCAAGGACGGTCACTGGGAAGATCCAGGTGGAGGTTCCTCCAAGGCGCTTCTGTCAAGGGCCCCTCCCATTTCCTCAAAACGATGACTCCGTCACGCTTTTAAACAAAAATGCCCTGGACACATGTTACATGATGCATCCTGATGCATCCTGCCCCTGTCAGACCCGCGCTGGGTCTATGAAAGCTTGCTTCCAACGTCTCCCAACCAACTTCAAGAATGAATCAATTGATACAGTGAATGTGCTCGGAGCTTCGTCCTTGTTCGATCACATGGGGGGCTGCACTCCAGAAGAATCATCAAAAAGCTGCAAACCAATGCGCGAATCATCTCGAATCCCTTTGGAATACGCCGCTCCCATACACGCGTGGCGACAGTTTGCTGCGTGGCTATCGCTCTGAACAAATCCTACTGAGCTTCTCGCTGTCGCTGCTCCTGGCGAGAAGTCACTCGCTTGTCCAGGAGCGAATCGCGAGGCGACAGGAGCAGGTTGATGCTGATTGGCTTGAACACCATTTCCCCGAAAGATGGATGCTGCCCCAATGTCCTGACATCTTCTGACCGCGAAAAAATGCATCACAAGCACCAAACAAGAGTCCATCCTGCATCACGTCCTGTTCGGAACATGTTTCAAGCAGGAGTGCCATATCCGGCCATATCCTGCAAGTGTCCAAACAGGTCCAGACGTTTGAAAATGTTTGAAGTGCTCCTGCTGCCCGATGTGGCCCAGTCACGGTATAAACCATTTTTCACCGCATGCGATCCAATCGGTGACAATTCGCTCCAAGGAGAAGAGAAACCCAAGCAAGGACAGGAACCCAAACCCCACACTATCCATGGGACTGGAGTATTGACCCTATACATTGACCCTTAAAACATCTAAACACATCTCAACACCACCCTAATGTAGGCGATTATTCCATACCCTAAGATCAAACACATAGGATCCCTGAGAAACGACCTCAAAGCCCCTCAATCGGCCCAGAAAACCGCGTCCTTCGTCGGCGAGCTTCACTGGTCCTCAACGTGGCACCCCTTTCCCCCCACATGATTAGTCCATGCTAAATAGTCCACCCAAAAGACTTGGGCCTTTTTGGAGTCCCTAAGTGGCCTTTTTGGAGTCCCATCCAGTGACCTGAAACACAGGCCTGTTCGTGACCTCAAACCAGATCAAGGACGGTCACTGGGAAGATCCAGCGGTGTGTAGCCAAAAAGACATGTCCAGGCCTTCCAGGCGTGGCAACGACCCCCCCAACGACCGGTTTGGAACATAGATGCAGTCCACCCAGCTGGGGGCGAGAAAGGGTATCAAATACATCAAAATACATACCATTTGATCCCATGTTGAAAAACCATGTTTCAAGAGCAAGGATTCAAACACCTTCTTTGGATATTGGGGGACTATATGGAACATACCAGACCGGCAAGAGAACCCAGGCACTGGAAGAGCTCTACTTGAGAAATATTCATCTTCAACAGCGGATTGTCCCATGTCATGTCCACTTGAGAAAGATGATGCAAACCTTCCATCCATTGATCCCTGGCGAACACCATGCCCCCGCCCCATGTAACTCGCCCGTTCTGCGGTCGAGAGGCAACTCTTGCACCACATCACGTTGATCCCTGGCAGCCAACCGGCCAAACCCCGATATTTCATGGTGGCAGACTGCACAGGTCCTCTTCCAGGACAAAAAATCTTGTGACAAACTGTGTCTGGTCTAACAGAAGGCCCGGGCATTGGGGTCGGAGTCGCATGTAGGCAACATGGGGACGAATGGTGTACCGGCACCGCATGGCCAAGAAGGACTCTGTGCTCTGGAGCCATGATCGGTCCAAATGGTGTGTTATAATGGGGAGACCCCAAAACAATTGGTTACATTAGGGCTCAATACTCCCCATGCGCTACAAAAATGAAGGCTTTCAACTAGTGAGGCCTTCAAGTCCAGACAGCGCGGGCAACCCGGCCTGCTACTTCGCCGGCAGCCGGCCGGCCGGCCATGTATAGTAGTAGTAGAAGTAGAAGTAATAGTAGTAGTAGTAGTAGTAGTGGTAGTAGTAGTAGTAGTGGTAGTAGTCGTAGTAGTAGAAGCGGTTTCTTCCGCGGCCCCTGGATCGGCCGGCCGGACGGCCATGTACTAGTAGTAGTAGTAGTAGTAGTAGTAG